CAAGTCATTTACTTGCAGACCAAAGACTCATCACATGCTGACTGAAGCAATAAGACTGGATGAAACCGATGTACTGTGTCCAGACACTGCAGCATGTTGGTCTGTGTGCAGTCAGAGATCTGAGTAAACTGTTGGTGCTGGGAACCCGGCACACAGAGCAGATCAACTCCTCACTTCCTCCACAGTAAACATCTCTCTCAGTCGGCATCAGAGATTCAGACCAACAGAAGTTCACTGACCTTGGTCTGTTGTGCAGCACAGCGCTGAGGCCACGACTGGAGAGAAACGAGAGGCAGGATGGTTTGAGGTTTTAGTGCAGTCACACAGCTACTTGGCACACTGTTATTGTCAGAGTTCCTCTGGTACTTGCACGATAAACTACTGAGACACTGTCATGACATGTGCACGGTAAATGCAGCCATGAATTATACACTGATAAATCAAAGGATATTAAAAGTATTGCCACGTGAAACGCAGCCACAGGAAAGTAACTGTCTGTTGCTGAGATCACACGTGATTCTTTAGCAGCACATTTAGCAGAGAATTGATTTAGATGCTGGTGTGGTCGCTCAGTGGTTAGCACTGTCACGTCACAACAAGCAGGTGTCAGGTTTGAAACCTCAGTGTTTTCATGTTCCCCCTGTGTATGGTTTCCTGTAGGTGAACGGTAAATGGCTGTTTCTCTGATAGTGACTGTGCACTGTAACAGACTGATGACCTGCACAGCGGGCGCCTATATCTGTTGTAGTGCATGATGGGATAAGCGCCATCCTCCCTGTTCATACACTAAGTGGGTAGAGAGCAGTGATGGGTTGTTGGGAGGCTGAATGCACAGACAGAGTTTGTACTGCTTCAATACAACAATACCATGAAAGATGGTCCTGTTCAAGAATCTAATGTCCAGCCCCCTGGGTCACAGTCTCCTTTTAGCACCGTCCTTATTTCAATCCAAACTCGCTGTTTAAAGTGCCTTTAGATTGTGTTACTTATTTATCTACTTCATATTTCACTTGTGTTGTGTGTCATTCATGTGGATGGCAGAGTAAGAATTTCATTGTACAGAGAAACACGTGTCCATACCATGCATATGACAATAAACACTTTGAATCTTGAACCTTAAACTCTGCTCATGTGACCATGTTCCCAAATAATAGACCACTTATTCCACTGCCCACACTAACTGACAGACAGACCACCTGTGGACAGGCAGTACTCATGTACTGGACTACTGCTTGGTACTGGAACACAGCTACCATGTGCAGCCTGATGTTTACACAACATACTGCAGCTGCTGAAGCTGTGCAACAAGACGTGGATGAGGCCAAAGCATCAAATATCAACTGGCTGAATCCTGCTAAGGAACCTGGACCCTGATGAAGTCTGTTTGCAGCATTGGCCATTTAATCTGTTACATTTAATGATCTTTATGAAAAATGTCGTGACTTCTTTTACCTCCAGTTTAAAGGTCAGATATAACAAGCCCCACTGGAATTCAAACCTGGGGCGTCATCGATTACATTATCTATACCATCAGGAGACGAGCCTAGACTATTGGAACCAGTCATGCCGCTGGCCTTTCCTGCTCTTACTTGCCAACATATTCTCATATCATTTGAAGCCATGACCTTTCCCAGTCTGGTGCCCTGAGTCTGACCTTCTTCCTCTGCAGAACAGCAACATCTAACTGTGTCATCACTAAACTAGACACAGAACAGACTGTACTCACAGATCAGACAGTGAAGAGATGCTGGTCCCATCGTACCGCTCCGTCGTATGAAGTACTGTGAATACTGCTGAGAGCAGAACACACCAGCACTTCCTCTGTGTAGTTGGTGCAGCAGCTGTGTGGTTTCCTCTGGTGGAGGTGGAGGGACAGTGGTCTCTGATAGGTTACAGCTGTGGACGTGTTCACTGCTGATCAGCTCTCCTGACTGTTCATGGTGCATTGGAAACAGATTTAGTTAGAACTTTATGATGATGTAAAACTCATCGTCACATTTTTCTTCTTCTTGTTAACGTCACTGAGCATGAGACTAAATATAGGTGGAGGGTGTTCATCAGAAACAGGGGACTGGTCGACCACAGAGCTGCTTTTTATATACAGCGAAACATTTCAGCAGACAAACTGTGACACTGGAAACTTCACCACCCAGATAACATCACACACACCACAGTGACAAACTGAGCAGCTCACTGGACTCAACAGGACGAAGCTGGTACTGTCATTATACACTGTACACAGAGATAAAAACCAGTAGAGTCACTGGTACATTTATAAAGCCATAAACTTCTAAAGCCATAAACTTTCCAGTGTCTTTTCTAATCACATCTCTGCTGTGGACAGACATGGGACACTGGGGACAGAGAACCAGTGGAGACACTGGTTTCACTGAATCCTGGCCTGTTGCAACCTCAGTGGTCAGTGACTCCTTTCAAATCAAATCAAATCAAATTAAATTTTATTAGTATAGCACCAAATCACAACAGAAGTCATCTCAGGACACTTTACAAACTAAGGTCTAGACCTTACTGTTATCAATATTATTACAGAGGGAAAACCCAACAAATCCCCCTGAGCAGCACTTGGTGACAGTGGGGAGGAAAAACTCCCTTTAACGGAAGAAACCTC